TGATTACAGCCGCGTCTGTCAGAGCAACGGCGAGCTCAAAAATAATGAAGTTCCTGCAGATTCTGTGCTTGCAGATTGATGCTTGTAGAGCTACTTGTTATGCTGAGAGTGTCTCCTGACAAGGTTACGCTGACCCTTCGGAGAGGAGATCTTGCTTTCATTGCTAGCAAGTCATATTTTGAATGAGATTCCACATATGTCAGGTCCATGCTTTTGGCGGGCCAACAGACCTGCTAAATGTGTTCCTGTGTCATCTGCTCCTGACTGCAAAATGGGAATGGAAATAGGGTGTTATTTCAGCTAATCAAATGCTGAAGCTTCTAAATAGCAGCAGCTTTGGCCAAGACGTAAGGATGAAAAATACATGTAATCAATGATAGGTATTTGAAAGATTAATCAGAAAGCACAGAGTGCTTAGGCTTGTTTGGTACCCAGCAAGTTGGCTCTTGCCAAAGAAAACACGATTTAGAATGTGCCTGAATTAAGGAGGAAATTTGAGAAAATAACTTTATGGAAGTGCCCCAGAAACCAAAATACAGAGATTTATTTTGACAAAATTATCACATGTGCTGCAGAGTTTCAATTCAATGCTTCTTTTTAAAATCTAGAACTTAAGTATTGTTTTCACAAATATTTTAGGGTGTTTTTTTAAAACCCAGAAGCTAGTCTCTGTCTAAAAGTACTGTGACAACTGCAATTACATATCAACTATCAAGTGTTTTGTGTTCAGTGTTACTAATCTAGTCCAGATGAGTAAGAGCCAAAATCTGACAGATTGCCCAAGTACTTTGATTTGAGAGTTTTGTCCAGTTTCTGATCAAATATCAATACCGGAAAAAAATTAAGCACCACAGTCGACATTAGTTGCCATCCTAAAATGATTACTTGTGCATAATAGGTATGAAGATTGATGCAGCCTCTTGGCAGCCAGCGGTAACGGCTGCTTCGCTCAGACATTGTGGAGGAATTTTGGTTATTATTGTCCATGCTTTTCCTGATCAATTGCTTGAGTTGTTTCTTTTGAACAGCAAATTTAATAAGCATGACCAGATTGTTCAAAAGGAATTTAGAGCCATTTCCTCGATGCATCTTGAGGTACCTGAAGACAAATGACTGCTTGTCAAAGATGACGGAGGTCAGCAGATTGCCCTGACTCACGCAGTTTATGAGGCTTCATTATGGCTACAAGTGAGGCCGCCTGTTTTGTCCCCCTGTTGATGGCTGTCAATAATTGAATGCTGCCACTTAACATTTTGGCCTTTTAAATTTTTTAACTGACTGAAGCGCCTGTGAGATGTCCCCACATTTTTTAAGCCTTTTTTTATTTCCTTATGTATGTTCTTCAGTTGCATTTTACAACTCACTTATCATATTATTGTTACTATTTTATGCAGGATGAACATAGGTACCTGGAGACCTCCACCAAGGCAGGTTCCTCAGACAAACACAGCATGGCAGACAGTCCCTGCCCCGAGGAGCTCACAAACTAAAATATTGTTTTCACCTCCCTCTTCCTTTCCCGAGGTAGCTCTGCTGACGGGTATGTGGCGCCTGCTTGCGCAGTGGGAGAGCTCTCGCCGGCCCCTCTCTGCAGCACTCCGTGGCAAGGCCAAGCAGCAATAATGAGCAGACAGCGTCCTGGCTTCCAGCAGTTTAAGCACCGTTAGAGAATAGTTTTTGACAAGCAGGTTTAGAAATCGGGTGTTAATTTTGCCTACAGAACTGGAGAACGGTGTGTAGAACTATCACTGTGGCCAGAATGAGACCACAGACCCACACGTTTGATGAGCTGGGACTGTTCTTCTCATTAAAGAAAAATTGCAAGCAGAGCCAGTTCTGCAAGCCTGTGAGCAAGGTTCTCAAAACAGAGTTAGTTGCTCAACATGAGAAACATGGTCCTTATGTACGTTATCTGTGAAAAGGGGCAGCTGTTTTCTCACTTACTTTCAATTACTTTACTATATAATAAATTTACCTGCCTATAAGATCAATCAGGCAGGGAGATGCTCTTTGTAAGTAAGAATTTTGTACTAAGAGTGAAACAGTTGTTACTTTTTGATAGGGTCTATCTCAGCTGAGGAAATCTGTAAGCATTCTCTATTCCTTCTTCATTCTCGACTTCCCCACTCCATCAGTTCTCATGCTTGGAAAATATAAGCAAGTTTGTTGACAGTTTGGTCTAATTATAAGGAGTGTGGATAGTGTTGGTAGGGAGTGACATCCTATTGCCTCTCCCGGTGTAAAAATCAGGAGGCAGCAGATGGAGGAAGCAGGAGACAAGTCAGCAACAAGCTTGCAAACGAACTTCCATAGCTGTCCTGCCACCAAGGCGGGTTGAAGCTGTGGACGCCCTTGCCAGCGGATGCTGCGGTGCTGGAAGCTCACACGGGCGCGGGAAGGACCAGGCTAATGGTAGAGAAATCTGCGGAGGGCTGTTAAATGCCTGGACACCTCTGCCTCAGGAGGTCCCTTTGCATTGGCCAAGGTTTGGAAAGGAGTGAGGGAAAGTATCTCAGCTTTGCTTCTTTTATACTTTTCCCTAAGCATTAGCTGTTGTTTACATTTGTCTTAATTCTTAGACCCAGACATTTTTACTGTATTTACCAGCATGGGAAGCACTGTGTATGTATCATCCCCGGATACATCCCATCTTGCCCATGCAGACACTGCTTCCAAAACGAGGGGTCTGTTCACGTTTGGCATCAGGCTGTCCCCCTCTTGCCAGGCATCCTACCTCCTATTCTTCCACTGAAGACTGTGAAGTCTCCAAAAACCTGAAAACAAGGATTTAGTGTGTCGTGGCACGCTTTGCAGCAGTGCAGCTGCTGGGCAGGGTGTGTGGATGGGAGTAGATGGCAGTACCTTGTGTGGGTGGGAATGGATGGCAGTACCTTCTGTTTCTCCATTTCTTTTTGGTGCATCCTGGGGCCTGAGGGCAGCTGGCAAAAGGACCTGAGGAAGTGCAAAATCCAGCCTATCCTTCTCTCCCACTCCCCTGTTGGGAATACCAACCTTACTGCACACTGAACTCGATGTCGCGGTGCTGTCCAGTGACGTGTGTTGGGATGAGATCATACTGCTGGGGCTGGGGCTGATTTCAGGGCCTTTTGGATCTAAAACTTTGGTCCAGGCTCCTAAACAGGAGACATCAGTCCCTCAGGACATTGCTGTTCTGCTTCGTGAGGCAGGTTTTTCTATTATTTATCAGTAAATATTATATTAAGTTAATATCATTTTAGATCAGATTTGGTAAGCTGTCAAGCTGGCTCCAGCCATAGGGAGCTGGAATGAAATTAGTATTTGTTTTGCCTCACTGTGGTTGCATTTTTAAAAATTATTTATATAATGAAAGACGCATTGCACTTACCTGTTGCTGTTTGCTAATGGCGTACTTTGTGTGTCGATGTAGTTGAGCTAAAAGCAATCCTCGGAAAAGTCAGTTTAGTACAACAGGGGACAGTAGCTTGGCAGAAATTATTGAAGACCCCATGAAGCTTTGCAAGAACGGGGAGAAAAAAAAGGAAAAACAAAAACCTTTCTATTTAGTCCTGTCTGATTTGATTCTGTCTCAACTGTGGTACCAAAGGGCAAGAGGCAGTAGCACCACCAACAAAGCTTCTTTTACAGCATGTTTTGGCATCTGTTACGGAAGGATTCAGATGTCTGACCTTTCAGCAGTAGGTAAAAGGAGAATAAAACACACACTATTCCTGGCAGTCTCTGGAAGCGCTTGGTCTCCCTAATTTGCCTTTGCAGGGACTGTGCAGTGCTCTGGATATGCTGGTAATGCTAAGGCAGAGGACCATGCTCATAAGCTTTGACTGCTCCTTGCTGGCATTAAGTTGAGACTGTTCAAGTTAGGGAATGCTCTGAACATGGCAAAGTCCCCTTTGCCATGGGGGTCTGTCTGTGCACAAACCACTCTAGGTCTTGTTAAGGTCACCAAGAAGCTGAATTTTCACATTTCAGCATGTCCACTGTGCAGACTGTGGAGGCTACACATGAATTCTTGCTTTTTTCTGTGTTACAGCCGTGCTTAATAATTAGTGTATTTCAGAAAGTAAAATCATTGCAATGATACCAACACTTGCTATTTTATATTACCTTGCGTATTTCTTTATGTCTACATTATTAATGCTCTTTATGCTGCCGGCCAGTTTGCAGAAAGGTCAAGGGTGGAATACTCATTTACATTTATTCTGTACCTCACTGTAGCATTTACTATATCAAATATGATTATGCCATTCTTCCATGTTTCTCTTCTTTCTGTTGCTGGGAAGGCACATTTGCAAGGCAGTGCTTGCAGTGCTCGTGGCGCCCGCGCCTCGCTAAGGACCGGGCCACATCACTGCCTTTAACATTTGAGAGGGAGGTGCGAAGGCTGGCAGAAAAGTGAGACTGAAACCTTAAAAAGACCCTGCAACATTTGGAAGATCAATCAGGAGGGAGAAGGGCCTCAGTTTTAACAGTGCACATGCTGAATCACAAGGACTTTCTTTTCAGAGAGTAATTGCCAGGTGATTTTCCAAAAATTAGACTTTTAAAAGGTCCTTGAAGGGACCACTAAAATTAGGTACCCAAAATTGCTGTCTGCCAGCAGGGTTAAGGTGGAGAACTGTGCTTGTTGGCATTGGTGGTGGCTTATTGAATAAGTTGAAAGCAAAATCCATTTTATGTACACATATATAACAACTATATAGAATTGATTCTGTTCTCAACTGTATGAAACTGCATGTTTTCAGTAAAATTCAAGCTGCATGTATTTGGGAAGTAGGAAATTAAACTGCAACATACTAACCAGACTATTCATGTAAATTAGCTTATTAGAAGCTAGTTAGAAACTTAAAATTTCTTATTGTCTTTATGCTATATTATATTTTGCTTTTTATTTTGAAGTATAAAATTCCTTGCTTAGCAGTGAATGCTAACAACAAAAGCTAGGTCTTGATATGGCTGTGGACTATATTAATTATGCTGACATGCTGCTTTTATCCCTGCAGTGAAGACGTCTGTAAACGAGGATTCACTGTTATTATCGATATGCGAGGATCCAAATGGGATTTGATCAAACCTCTTCTAAAGACCCTTCAAGAAGCCTTTCCTGCCGAGATTCACGTTGCCCTGATAATAAAGCCCGATAATTTCTGGCAGAAGCAGAAAACAAACTTCGGCAGTTCCAAGTTCATCTTTGAGGTGAGATGTTTGGTAATGTAGTAGCCCTGCTAAGAAATTTTCTTCAGGAAAAAAAATGTCTAGGCCCTGTACTGGCAGAAAAAGGCATTTGAGCACTGTTTCCCAGCACGAGCTGGTGCCAGGACATCAGATGCCTTCTGAGCAAACTTGTAGAATGCGATGCACGTTTCATCCTACAGGTTCATATCCTTGGTTCACTCGGGGGTTTTGTGTATCTTTTCTCTCTCCCTTTTTTTTTTTTTTTGGTATCGCATTCAGTCTTTCTTCTCTTTCTTTTAGGAAGAAAAATAACCACTAAAGCAGTCAAAATACTAAAGATAAAGTTCTCTAGATACTAACACATTATCTTTTCTCCAGGTTCACCTAATAGCTCTTTTTAATAAGAGGCATTTAGATTAAATTTATCTACATATTGTCAGTACTTTTAATTGAAATTTAATATTCAAAGTTAACAATAACAATTCACATTAACAATACAGTGCCTTGGGCAATTCACGGAATGGTAACCAATATGCAACACAGCATAATTAAAGGAAATTTTACTAACTTTTGTCATTAATGAAGATAAACCAGCTATGTTCTTTTATTGCTTCTTAGCTTCTGGGAATTTCAGCTTCTCACTCAAACAGAAGCAAAGCTCAGATGCATGACGTGCTCATATCAATGAGTATGTGCTCAGTCATGAGTTAGACCTGATTTTTTTCCTTGTTCTTTACTGGGATACTGTTTTGTACCTACTTTACTTAACAGTCCATTCATTTTAGAGACATCTCTGAATTTGCACCTTTGTAAATCAGAGTAGAATTTGCTACAGTTCTTAGTGGTGACTGAAATGGATGAGCATATTTAAGTATGTATTTCAGATCTATTGAAATTAGTGTGGTATAAATATGTCTTTATTTTCAACCTTCCTACCTTCCATGGCTACTGCTGTGTCCTGTGAGCCTTTGGGAGCAAGGCTGTCCTCAGGTGCCACCTCCACAGATCCCTGGCAGAGGGGGCCCGGTTGCCACTCCAGTGCAATAAGATTGGCATCTCTGTGTATGGGGACAGAGGGGGATCAGGGCAGTAGAAAAGAGCGAGAAAGAAAAACATGGAGCAGGAGGGAGCCTGTGCAGGGACTAGTGGCATCATAGCTCGTGGCCTGTGTGAAAACCTCTCTTTTACCTCATATAGAGACACTAAGGAGCCCAAGGGAGCTCATCTATCTTCATCCAGGCCTGAGTTTCAATCCTCCAGTGGTATAATAAACAAAATCAATGTCTCCCAAAAGCTTCAAAACCTAGAAGCAAAGTATCAGTCCTCATATAGTTTCTTTTTTAGAACATTTGCTTTAAAATGCATTAGTACTCTGGAGGCTTGTCTTATAATTGTGAGAAGCTGGTGTGATGATAGGGAAGAATAAACTGTGGTTAAGCTGTTCTTCAGAGTTAGAGCTCTGAGGCTGTATTGTGCTAAAAACGCTTGGCTCATTCCAGCACACGCAGCCTCACATTAGGGGTAGCTCATTCTGTATGTGGGCCTTCGAGCCCTGCTCGCTCTGCCCGGCTGCCTGCAATGGTTCACAAATAGCTGAGAGGAGCCATGTCAGCCCTCCTGCTCTCTCTTGGACCACCTACAGCACACAGAACTGATGAGTCCTCCAATTTTAGGGTTTTTAAAAGGTTCTCATAGACCCCCTGCAAAGTCAGGCCACAATCCAGGAATCTCTGTTTTAAAGGATTCTTGTGGTTACTGCTGCTTATTGGTAAGCTCAGACATTAGCATCAGTTGAGCTGTCTGATCAGAACTGTGAATATCAGATAGTCATCCCAGATCTATTAAACTCTGTGCATTTTTTGATTTACGGGGACAGGACATATGCATCCTCTCTGCATTGAACCATCATAGGGACCTCCCACAGCTGTGATTAAACACAAGATGCTCATAGGAGTGTAGATGTTGCAGTGGAAGGCAGTGGAAATCCATATTGATTTAACCCATCTACAAATGTAATAGTTACCAGTGTCTGTAGGGTAATTGACAGAGCAGAGGCCAGTGGTCGTTAAGGTTGGAAGGGACCTCTAGAGATCATCTAGTCCAACCCCCCTGCACACACAGGGTCACCTAGAGCACGTGGCACAGGACTGCGTCCATAATGCAGACTCCCCGGCTTCCTGCCACTTTCAGGGACAGACTGGGAAGATTTGCAAGCATTAATGCAGAGATGCCTTCAAAATTATTTTCTTTCTCCTGCCAAAAGGGTTTAAATAGTGAGCTGTGCTTTCTAGAGTGATTTAAAAGAAAAAAAAAAGGAAAAAAAAAAAAACAGCGTGAAAGAATGATGCCTGGGAACAAATTACCCAGTCTTACTACATACCTGCCCAAGTAAGGTTGTTTTCATATTAGTCTTGCAGCTGGATCATCATGTCAAATCCTGAATGAAAGAGCAGTGCTTGCAGTAGCTTGACATGCTGCAGGGTGAGTGCCCAGGTATTAGCAATAAGAAGTCTTTTCTTGACAGGCAGTTAAATCCAAAATGGAATTATCTTATTAAATACCTTGAAGGGGTCAGTGTCCAGGCCAGGAGGTTTAGAAATCTAAAATCCTGCTTTGAAGCTACACACTTACCTTCCTGTTGTTTGTTGGCTCTTCCCCCTGACCTCCCCCTATTCGGTGAAGCACTGCAAAAGAACTTTAAAAAATCTTTCTGCTGAGCATATGCTCAATAGAATTCCATTTTAATACACTGCAGAATGCCTGATATTTTTAGATGGATAAAAAAAAAAGTTGGAAGAAAAACCTATTATTAACTTTAAACCAGTGGGCAGCCTCTTTTTGGACATAGTTCATGATAATGGATGAAACTTGAGGTATTTTTCTTTACAGATGACTTTCAAGATTGCTGTGATTATGAGGGCCTCTGTTTTAGAGGAGCACGAACTCTGACATTCTTTAGAGACTGGATTTTTAGAGGATACTTCTGCAGCACTTTCTGAACATCACAAGTCTTTAAAGGCTGCCAACCTGGGAATTAACATGACCACTGAAAATCTCTAGTAATATTTGGAAGCCTGTGCTCATATTTCCATAAAAATAATTTGTCTAAAATGAATGGGAATAGCCTTCAGTTGTTGAGTCCTTCAGCTTTAAGGTGCTTACCAGGCACTCAGGGCATTTTTGTATCAATGATTACTTTTTCTTTAGCAAAATCTGAGTGAATTAAAACCATCTTTAATTCATGAACGGTTCTTTCTGTTAGCAATAAACTCCAATTGTTAATACTCCTGTGACATTTAATTTTTACATTGATTTTGGCTTAATCACATTAGAAAATGCTAATATGAGAGAGCCCTGCCTGTGGCAAAAGAAAACTGAATTAATCTGAAGGAAAAATACGACACATTGTATACTTTGGCAGGTTAGAATACCTGCTTCCTTTGCTTAAAACTTTTTGCTGATGTACAGCCACAAGTCTGAATGTAGTGCGAGAAATCGAATCCCTGTAATACCATATGCCATTTAGTGAATAATCATGTCCACACCATCAGCAGCCTCTGTAAGAGGCTTCTGTGTTCAGCTGGTTAAAGTAATCATAGAATCCACAGCAGAAGCCTTCTCTTGGTGTGTTTTTAATTGACTGGCCTAAAAAAATAGGCATCATTCCAGTAACTATCATGCCTTAAAATAAATGAAATCAGTGTCATTAACAGATTATTTTCAATATGATTAATTTATCAAACTTAAATACAGTTCTCAGCATCTTTTACAATATTCCTTCAATTATGTATTGATGAGGAAAGTAATCCCTTCGTGCCGTTTATGGATTGCACTGTTATTTCTGGTTGCACGGTCACTGATGAAACGCTCTCGCTTTCCCTTCCCTAGACAAGTATGGTCTCTGTTGAAGGCCTGGCAAAACTCGTGGATCCTTCTCAACTGACGGATGAGTTTGAAGGATCTTTGGATTACAACCATGATGAATGGATAGAGTTGCGCGTCTCCTTGGAAGAGTTTTTCAACAGTGCTGTTCATTTATTATCAAGGCTGGAGGATCTCCAGGAAATGTTGGCTAGGAAGGAATTTCCAGTTGATGTTGAGGGCTCAAGAAGGCTAATCGATGAGCACACGCAGCTTAAGAAAAAAGTGATTAAAGCTCCTGTGGAAGAACTGGATCGTGAGGGTCAGAGGTTATTACAATGCATAAGATGTAGTGATGGCTTTTCTGGTAGGAACTGCATTCCTGGAAGTGCAGATTTTCAAAGTCTTGTGCCAAAGATCACCAGCCTTTTAGACAAGCTGCATTCCACCCGGCAACACTTGCATCAGATGTGGCACGTCCGCAAGTTGAAATTGGACCAGTGCTTTCAACTCCGACTTTTTGAACAAGATGCTGAGAAGGTAGGGAATAATCTACTCCTTTTATACTTTTACCAAGACATTATTACAAGGGCACTTAGGACACTTTTTCTTTCTATAATTAGCAGCAGGAGGTATTAATTGCAGGTATAAATCTCATGGTGCCAGCAGATGTACTTTATGTGACTCATAAGTCAAATTCTCTGAACTAATTGTTGGATGCAGCAGCCATAATGATATCCAGAATAACCTACTTGTGTCATTTTTGGTGAAACTTCATCTGCTTTTTCATGTCACAGTGGGTAAATATTATCATGAGAATCAGCTTTTATTCATGTTTCTTCTACTAAATGTAAATATATTTTTTTGAATGTCATAGGAGCTAAAGAAGAATAGTTTTAGTGTTTGGTATACTATGATTAATGTCTGCACTTTTTGTGAGTCTATGGGAACTCTGTAGTTAAATTCCTCCTGATTGTTATCCCAATCCATATGTTCAGTTTACCTTTTGTAGGAAATCACAACTGCATCTGCAACAGGTAAAATCTTTGGTCACGGAACTGACTACCAAGGACATGATCACTTAGTTCCAACAGCCGGAGAGCTGAGAGTGCATTTAGGTTCAAGCTTAAACAAACACATAAGAGAAAGTATTCCCAAATGATGGCAGGATGCAAAACTCACTGGGGCTGGTTTGCATTAAACCGTACATAAAGATGGCATTTGACCTCATACCTGACACTGAATCAGTGGCCAAGATTCCGATTCACCAGCATAAGATCAGATTTGAGAAATATTTAACATTAAATTATTCCATAGAGAGATTGCATTGCAACTTCCTATTTCTTAGACATTTGTAATGTAGCGTGTCGGCCTGAAAAACACATAGTATGTCTTAAAATGAACTGCAGTATACAAAAGAATGTAGGGCAACAGAAACATTGGTAAGTAATATGGTTTTATGAAGCTGTAGTTCCAGACTGTAACAAGAAGTGTGTGATAGAGCTGCAGTTATATCCTTATTCCTACCCTCTTCAGAAGATCCTCACTTGGAAACCTGTGGTAGATAGGGAAGTCTCCTGAAAGTGAAGCAGCTTGTCATGCTAGTTGAAAACGCTGGCTAAAACCAGCAGTGTCCCCTACCAAGGCTTCATACCCAAGAATGGCTGCACATGTCAGTAGTACATAATAAATTAGGCTTCCTATGCTATTCTGCTGCTGTCTGCCTCTGGAAGCATTGGCAGGTATGGATTTTAGTGATTTTATGTCAGGAAACTCTACTGAGACTTGGCAGTCACCCTCTTTATGCAGAAGTGCTTAGAGTCTGATGAGAGTTTTGTGAGAAGTCCTCACTGCACAATTAAATTGCAGGCCACAGAAGTGGGGTATTCTCAGAGGAAGGTACCAAGCTCTCAGGCTCGTGCTTACCTGGTCTGTGTATATCCATCAAAAGCCTCAATGTACAACACAGTTGTTTTACTAATGTGTTTGCATGGACTCAGGAGAGACAAGAAATGCAGAACTCATCCGAAGAGGGAACCTGTTGAAAGTGATATGTTTATCAGGTGCAGATTAATATTTTTTTTTTAAATGTCAAGGGAACATACATTGCAGAAACAAATACAATCTTCTGTAGTGTGAAACAACACATCGGTTTTCAGTGCATGTACTAACTCTAAGGAGGGCCGTGACTGACAGGGCTCCATCATTATGTAATCAATCCTTTTATTGGGAAAATGGTGAATTCACATGGATCTGTAAAATAAGAATAATTGCAGAGTCAGTCAAGAATATGGAATAGCACAGCTTTGTTCCAAATATGATTTCTGCTTCTCTTTCCTTTTCCTTCTCTGTGTCATAGTGTAAGCAGATCCTGTCCGCATTCCTGTCCTTCCCAGCATAGCTGCAATTCAGTCAGCATTTTGTGAATTTTTCATGAATTTGGATTATGAATTTCTTTGGAATTAGATGACAAGTGCTTGGTAGTGTAATTGTAATTTTATTTCGGATGATTATCTGCTAATATTAGTATCATGTTATCAGTTGGAAGACTCTCAGATCAAGCTGGCATTCCCTGACATCCATAGTAGTGCAGGAACTCTTCAGGGTATTTCTCGTTTCTATCTTTTGAACAAGCATAAAAGGTGTGATGCACCAAAGGAGTGTTGTAACAGCCACACGGATTGCATGTTTTACAAGGCTGGTAAGTGTAAATTCTGGACACACAAAGCTTTTGAGATGGACGAAGAAGCAGTGAGATTTTTGACTTTTTAACACTGCTTGACTCCAGCAAATTTGATGGACAAAACAGGCATTCTGATATTCTAGATATCACTTACGCATCTACCCTTACCTCCTAACTAAACACCCAGTTTGCTCTGGCTTCCCAGGGTAGCAATCATTGTCCTTTCTTGGACTGTACTTCTACACTTTCCTAAAGAGTAGAAAATATTCTGTTGTTTTTACTCTCAAGCCAGTGTCTTTTAATCTTTTCAATGTGTGGCTCCCTAAATCTATTCCAGAGAAGTTTGCAGGCCCTTTTGCTTGATTTGTAGACTGATGTAAAATATAAATGTGCTTGTTTTTCTTAGCTGCCTTTTGCAGGTCTCTCTGAAATTGCCCAGCCATCTCATTCTGGAAAATACTTGTTTCATAATAAGCTCAGAGCTAAATCCAGTGAGTACTGTCTGTGCTGTATAAATACTCACCACAGTATGTCTGTGTATGGAATTTCAAAGTTTCCTGATACCTCTATTTGCTCAGTTGAACTCTACCTGCTACCATTAGGTGCAGTAGCAGAGACAGGATGGTCTTCATCTCCTGGGAGGATGAAGCTGGATATGTCATTTAGTGCTTATCAAATGACAGCTCTAATACCCTGCAAAAGGTCAAACACCAACATAAAATTTGAATATAAATAAGGTTTTAAGGCCTTTTAAAAATATTTCTGTATACTCATTGGGTGATATTTTAGGAAACTAATAATGAGAAAATGGACAAGGACTTGGCATTTTCCAGACACCTCTTATTTTAAAAATTTCAGGTGTCCTCATTGCCTGAAAGATTTTTAAAGGAGGAATAGAGAAAAAGGGGGCACGAGAAGGAAAAACATGCAGTATTTTGAACTCCTTGCTCTCATAATCCTTAGGTGTTCAAAGCAAAGCAGTTCACACTTTTTTCCCCCATGGATCCTCTCTATCCAAAAATTTGTAAGTGACAGTTGCTGGCCAGACGTTTAAATTACTCAAAATAAAAAGTATCTTGCTTCCCAGGGGACTCCATCCCAGAGCAGTGAAAGTCTCCTTTCAAACAAGCGAACCACAGCTTCTGGGCCGGGGTGCCAATCCTGCTGAGAGCAGGTCAGCCAGACCAAGCTCTTTTCCCTGTTTGGAAAATTGCACTGGCTACGGGTAAGAACTAGGGCCGGGGCTCCTGTTCTCCCCCGACGCCTTGCGGCGCTGAGCGGCTCCGGGCTGGGAGCAGGCAGCCTGCAGAGCTGGCTGCGGAGCAGCTGGGCTGAGAAAAGGAGGGGTCGCCGGCCCACCCGGGGCTTCTCCCGCTGCAGCTGGCAGGACAGAGCACATCTGTCTGTAGAGAAACTCCACGCCAGGCCTTTTGGGAATTTATTTTCCCATGCTGGGCCAGAGGGAGAACAAACGTGGGCTATTGCAGGAGGAGGGAGGGCTGGATCAGCGGGTGTAGAACCGGGAGCTCCGCGGAGCCGCAGGCAGCAGATGGATGCTCGGGCAGGTCGGCCAGGAGGAGCTGGGGCAGGGGGGTGTGAGGCAGTTCACACCCGTGCGGGGAGGTGGGGAGGACTGCCATGAACTGCTGATAAGTACCACACTTCACCCTCCAGTGCAGCCCGGCCCTCACTGCTCCGCGAGTTCATGCCTCACCAACTAATATACATTTTCATATATGCATATATATATGTGTGTGTGTGTGCATGACTCTGAAACCAGAACCGAGTTTTCTGTGTTTTTCCTGGGTAACAGAGAAAATATTTTTAGCCATCAGTAACATGAAGAATGTAGCTTGGTTTAAATTGAATATTGTTTAAACCAAAAACCCACAGTCAGCGTAGATCCAACTATTAGAACAATCTGAGCAATGTTAATTGGTTGGTTGAAATCTGGACAGGGATAAGAGTTCAGGAAAGAGTCTACATGCTTTGCACTTGAATAAATACCAAGAAAAGACAACAAATTAACCCAGCTCTGCACTTTCCAGCCTTCTGGAAATCATCTGTAATTGGCACCTACCTTGATTTCTGTAGGAATTTCCCCGTCATTCTGGGTTGATCCCATATCAGTTTTATTCCCTCTGCATGTATCAGGATGAAAAACAGTTACCATGATGTAATCAGCATGGTCCATGTTAAATTCAAACAATGTAGTCTTCAGCTTGACTAAACCAAGGATCTCTGTTGCAAACTTGCAGCACCAGAGCAAAGAAAGAGCAGACTGCTAAAATATCAGTGGGTGCAGCCACTAACACGAGACAGAGACCTGTTTTCTCCCCATCTCCTCCTTCCACTTTCTACTTTTCCAAAGTCATATCACAATCCAAAGTGAACTCCAAAAACAGCAACCATGGTTAGAAAATGCAGTGAGTGAGTGTCACTTGAAGGTTGCAGTGGGAGGAACTTTTTGTTCACATTCAGCCAACGTTTTGGAAAGTCCAGTGGTGAGCCACAGGCCACAGTTAGCTTGCAGGGGACAGTGAAGTAGCCAGCTTGCAGCCAAAACTTTCTGCCTTTCAAAGCTCTCCCTTGGAAAACATACCTCTGCCTGGGGGTTTGCCCATGGAGCAGGATGGGGGAGGCTTGCCAGATGCCAGGGGCTGCTGGATGGTCCCCAGGTCATACCCTGCGATGGCCGTTCCTCCCGGTTCCCAAACTGTGTGACCAGGATGGAGTACAGCAAGATCTTGATGAGCACCTGAGTGATCTGAACGTAGGTACAATACAAAGTTTTTGTGGTAAAAGACAAATTTGACTAGGCAAGAAAAGGCTGATGGAGACCGGGTGGAATTCTGGC